GGATCATAAGATGCCTCTTCATTTTGGACTGCCCCACTAGTTTCCCACAGAGAGAGCACGGAACCCTTCCGAGGTGGGCCGAGTCGACGGCAAGACTCCTCATACTCTGGGGTTGTTGAACAGCCCACTCGTTTCTCGTCTGCAAGGAGTTGGTTCCGAGTCAGCAATTTACCCCAATATGTTAGTCACTTTATAATGGTGTCTTGTGGCACAAATCTTCATCATCATGAAGCAAGAGTGAGCAGTGCATCTCATTTCTAGTAACCGATGACATGAGAAAATTTTCACTTAAGTGCAATAATCATCCAAATACTGTACAGTGGTGATGAGTCACTACACACAAACACCAGTGCTCAGTGTTTATAGTTTTCCATTTAAAGTATGAGTCTCCTTATAGATAAGAGCAACAAAATTTCCATTCCAGTAAGTTTCCTAATACAACGAAAGCAATGTTCTCCACCCTAAGTTAACAGTAAGTTACTCACAACTACAGTACCTTCCCCAACTCAATATAGGAACTAAATTCGTTTTACCTCAAACCTTCACGAAACAGGTTATCAGTGCATGTGAGAGGCTGTTATGCCATCTGACGCAGTACAAAGTAAGCCAGCTTTCATTATGCTACACAGTATAGGATGTTGGTAAAATAAACTTGCACATACAACAAACACATCATGATATAAAGGATGGAAGGAGGAGTTCTAAGATGCTGCAACTTCATTAATATTCACTTAAATACACATACACATTTATATACTGTACTGTATACATACAAATTATACATACAGTATCAATTATGCCCATTTAGATTTGGTACCACAAACTAATTAAAAAATATATATAATTTAATCATAAAGATCTGCTGCAGACTAAAAAAAAAAAAAAAAATCGCCCAAATTGGATTTCACCAAATTTTTGCTAACCATTTCGTATTATCAACGTTAAGACAAAGCTCATCCTCGTTGGCCAGAGCTGCAAATTACTTCATCCAAATCTGGTTGAATCATCATAACAACATCCTGCTTACTGGCCCAAAACTGTGACTGGACTTGATTTAATAAAGTTTCAGGATCAACAATGAATTCTTTATAAGCATTTATTGGCTGTGTAGAGCGAGGGTATGTGACTGCCCGAAACCAGCCGGGATCTTAGTGACACAACCTGTCTCCTGGGCCAGAGAGAGGGTTAACTATGACACGAGCGTACAGTATGAAGTACGGTATGTTGTTCAGAAAAATAAGAAAAAAAAATATCCTTCACTGCAAAATAAGGAGTAAAGAAATAAGACCAACTGCAACACGACCAGGACACAGTCAAACAATTTAAAGATCGGACAACTTCATTCAACTTTAACCCTTGAGTGAGGCACAACACAGCATTAAGGACTGCACTTATGTTGCACAACCTACTTTGAAGGCCAAAATAATTTAGCTTCAGTTTTTCCAGACTATTATCCACAGAGATAAAAAAAAACTTTGGGAAACAATACCATAAATCTAATTCCCATAAGACAAACAAATACTGTAAATCAATATGCATAAAAAATTAAGTGACTATTTTTTTCAAAATACATTACAAGCAAATCTTTATCACTGCACAACGATACACCATGAAAGGTTGATCTTAAGAAGCTTCAGGATTCTTTGAAATTAGTAATGACACCTTGACTTTCTTTGTATTACCATGAAGTACTGTACTCTATTATAATACTTCCCCCCCCCCCTATATATCAAAGATCACACACACACACCATGGCGCTGGCCTACGCTAGGCAACCTCATTGCCTTCAAATATACCTACAGTTGTTCATGTACTATATAACCCTCCCTCCAGTACCTATAGTTCTACCAGGTGCTGTACTGTACATCCTGCAACATACAGTGTTGCCATGCATGTCCTTAGCATCTCCTTGTACAGTATCAATAGTTTGTTTTACCAGGCAGCTACATCATATCCTCACTGTCTCACTCTCAAATCCCCATGCCTGTGTACACCCAAGAGAAGGTGGAAACAAGTGGAACATAACAACAATAAAAACTCAACCATGATCCAAATCTGTCACAAACTTGGAGAAAACGACAAAAATGAATCCATCCTAACCACGAACAATACAGCATTTCCATAACTTCCCTAAAATTATATATACACACAGCTTTAGTTTGAACAATACTCAAGCATATGAAACACTCCTCGGTTTTAGAGAGAGAGGCTAGAATCCCTGCTGGATGATTTCCTTCGACCAAGACCACTGCTACAGGGCTCATCAACTGTGTATGAGGTACTCGTGTTTGTAATGCCCCCACTCGAACATAGGTCACTGTGCGAGAACAGTAATCAACAGGGAAAAGGATGGATTTTTAAATGGCAGCAAAAGGTTTATCATTAATATCAAGGTTTATAATGATCTCCACCTCCACAGTCTGTTCAACTCACTAAAGCAAGACTAAACCTATGACTTGCACTCCTACACGCTTTACACTTCAACACAAACATCTGGACAAACACAACTGCCGAGAGCCGATACTTAATATCGAAACGAGTGTATGTATTAGCAGGATCAAATTTTCCAATTGTAAGAAGTTTGGATGTTTCGAGTGCATTTACAACTGCCTGCATCAACGTATCATGAACTACTGCACGTGAGCCTCACTGAATATAGCCTCTTTGCTGTGCTGAGAAAACTGTGAAATCCGCACAGGAAATTACAGGATATGCCAGTGGAAATACTGTACCCCATGAGTTATAAATTTTTCTTATGAATGAGCCTTTGAATATAATCCCAAATCTTTAACAATCCTGTCAATTACTACTCCGATCTCACCCAGTATTACCACTTAAGAGGCACATTTGTCGGCAATTCAAACTACAATACTTCTAAGAGTTTCCACCCGAAGAGCATGATCAGCAGAATCTACATTGTGTATGTTACATGGAACTTTTTTCCTTGACTGAATTTATCGCCTTTTTTTTTATAAGTTGCAGTGTATAACATGGACTAAATATATATACATATACAGTTTTACATGACTTGTAGCATCTTAGAAAACCTGACATTTCTAAAACTAAGGAATCTTTGCAGCAAACTCAAAGTCAGTCAATATACATGAAACAATTAAAACTATTCTTAGGTTATTTTAAGTGAAGTACAGTACAGTTTGCTACAAAGACATACAAAAAAACATAACTTTGTACCACAATGGAAGGACTGATCAGTACGGCTGTTTACCATCTACTGTTACTCAAATATTAGTACATTACTGGAATCTACACTATTATAGCAAAAAAAATTATCTGAAACCTTGTTTTATTAATTTATTAAGTACAAAAAATTACACAAAACAAAGCCAAAGATGTAAAAATATATTTATAAAGAATTCAACTTGATTAATTTAAAAAGTACATTTATTGACCCAGTATCAGAGTTTACACTGACTCGTAATACCAACAAATAGAAAAATTTTACACAGTAATCTTGGCAAGAGAAACAAATGACCTTTAAAATCACTTTAACACGTTCAGAAAATGAATATGTTAGTAAACCAGCAAAAGTCAGTAAAGTTGTTTGTGCTCTAATATATTTTACTAATAAAATCTTAAGGGACTATATGGCACAAATTGGTTTAAAAAACATCTGCATTATTATTACTATTATTAACAGTAGAGTAGTCAAATAGACATGGCAGCCAAATCAATCCTTCCATTTATAGGGAAGCATTACCAGTTAATAAGCTTTGTTTCAATCTCTATAGTATATATAATGTTACTAAGAGGTGTACAGCACTGTTATTAGCTACTTCTTTTATGTCCAATACTTACACAGGCTTCCAAAGGGGCTTCCTTCATCTAGCACATTACAAAGGGTTTTTTATTTTTAGTTTATTATTTGAGGGGAGTCAATTCCAAACTAGGGATTATGATTTATATTATTATAATTAATAAAATAAAAAGTATCTCTCAACAGTGTGGCGCTCTTTATAATAATGTGAGGAAATGAATATTTAAAAAAAAAAAGTCAAACAAGAATCAATGAATCATTTTAATCTAATTCAAACCTGTGAACAAAATAGTATGGACAGATGAAAAGTGTGACAAGACTTGTTAAAAGCTTTTGAGCCTCCCTGACCAAGTTACTGAAGAAGTACGACTTAAAAAAATTCACATATTGATGGACATTTGTGGGAAGACTCATAGTTTTCGGTCATCAATGGGATACAGTTGTGAACCTCAACACAACTATTCGGTGACGTATTGAAAAACAAAATTAAAAGGGCAGTAAACACCCGCCATCTAAATCAAACTAAACTTTTGCTAACTTTAGTTCCATCAAAAAACCTTGTATAAGATGGTTGTCCTGCTAAACCTACCACTCTCAGGTGTATCATTGGCCTTCTATACTACATCACCTACATAAAGTTACTGTACATATTACTGAGTAAAGGTTTGCAAGAGAACGTGGCTACAAATAACTTAACCTCGACTATAAGATATAGAGAAGGTTTATGTTGGTTCAGGTTAGTTTATACTGTACTGTGTTTGTTGATTACTAACCAACTCCACATGTTAAGCTGAATAACTTGATTGTTCAATATGTGACTTGAGAGAATCTAGTGAAATTTACGCATTTCATTATTTGCACATGCATTTTTTCCTTCTACAATACATACACCTGGGCATGTCTGTTTCTCTGTACATGTGTCTGGCCATTTGCCTCTTAAGTGGTCATTGCTTGTAAATGGTCATGTGTAAACCTTCAATCAATCATCCTAAGACTCTAAAAAACTAAATAAATAAATTCAGCCATAAACAAAATAAAGTAAAATTACAAATATTTCTTGTTCAAAGAAAAAATTCACTACTTATGTACGTCACCAAATATACTTGTGTGGTAATGGATAAAAAAATAAGTGTTTCCCTGTGGCAGACAGCAGGGAATCAGTAACTGACAGCTAATTTAGAACTGGTAATGCTTCTCCTTTTTTAAACGAAGTAGTAACACTCACCCCTGGTGGATTGTCCTGTGTGGAGGGCTGAAAGCCTAGCCCCGCAAAACTTCCTGGCAGGGACTGACTGTCCCCTTGCCAACCAGACACCTCCTATGATGGTTAACAAAAATAAAATCTTCAATAAACACTTACTTTCTTCCCAGTTCAAGTGTAATAATACAGACAAGAAAAATTCATGTTCAGTTAAAAATTACACACAGTACATGGCTAAATTATAGGTCATTCACATGTGATTGCTTCATGCAGTACTTAGCCTTAGTCTACCAATTCTTGATCATTTATTTCCTCATTGGTTTTAAGGTACAATACATTTTCCAGACACATACTGGACAGTAAAGTGTCTAAAGAAAACTATAAACATGACATCCCAAATTGTGAAACACTGCTGCAACATTTAATGTTCATACCAAAACTAAAAAAAAAAAAAATTAAGATACAGGGTTTTTAGGTTAGGTAGGTTGGGATTCATTTGACAGGTCACTGGTAAAGATTAGTAAAACCAGGAAGATAAAGAGACAGAAGACCATCCAGCAACTTCTCTGAGAAGCACCGAGCGTGAACACAAAAGTGCAGTCCCCCTCCTGTACAACCATGATTCACCCACTACTCACATAATAAACCATCAAAGAGCTTGTTCTTTGATGGTTTTACCAATAAATTAAGTCACGTACCCTATACTGTACCTTGAGAGCGAATCCCAAGTTTGGTGACGACACAAAGCATAGACCAATAGTTTGCGGAAAAATTCATCAAGCAGAAAGAAACTGCTGTTAACAGAAGATGAACTGCTAAATAGAAAAACTACTACAGTATTAAGAAATAACTCTACCCCAGCCCAGGTCCTCTCGGGCACACAACACACATCCAGAACAGCAGGATCATACTGTGTTGGCATTAACGAGATGGTAACTTATTCCAGTGTTCTATAACTGCTAACTAAAAGGCTTTCCCCACATTTGCCCTAAATGTTTCCTTCAATTATTTTATCAAATAATTCTGTAATTAAAATAATTCCTCAAGCTAAAGCTACTGTATTAGCCTCATTTTATATCTTGAATAACTGTAATAGGTCTTCTCACAGTCTAAGGTTCTTTAGGGAAAATATAACAGTTCCATATATTACCAAGTCATGAGAAGAATAAGTCACTTGGTGTCATAATGAGCTCCTGTGATTCACTTAGGACAGCATCATGACTACAACCCCCCCCCCTCCACAGTCAAGAGGTATTAAAAGATTATAATAACTACTGTAAGTAAGTTATAACAACCTATCATAAAGAAATGAGCTTCTGAAGGTCTTAAAAAGGGATTATTAACACAGCTTAAAATAATAAAAGCTCAATCAAGCAGTACATCTCTCCTTCACAATAATTATTCCTGAGATATATGATTGACTTGGCCAGGGTGATCTCCTCTGTTCCTAGACAGTTAAGTGCTCACAATCCCCACAATTTTCTTCGTTATTTCTAAAGTTAATCCACATGTCCCCTATAGACTAGTTCTTACTGTTAACAACAAAATACAGTATATACAGTTTCAGACCTTAGGTAAACACACACAATTTTCTCTTATGGATTTTCAGACCTCAACAACCACTATCTTCAAGACCTCTACGACCAAACATTTGCAAGAATCCAATGTGAACTATAAAGCAAACCTCAGACATACTGTAGAGCTCAACCAACATGTGGGTATGGACACTAACAGACACAATGATGGCTCTTCTTCCTCCCCATGGCTGCTATTTTTATTTCTATATAACTAGTCTTGGATCACCTGAAGATTAAGCCCCCCTCCAGTTAATGTTACCTAGTTCTACCTGAGGGGGGTGTGGAAGGTTAGGTTAAGTTAAACTTGTGATATAAACTGGGAGAGGACTATTTTTCAGGTGATCCCTTTTCCTAAGCACATTTCAGATCCCCAAATAATCCCTGAAGTCAAATTTTCACTTTGCCCGACCATTTAGGTGCACGTCACCCAACAGATGAAATTTAATCAAGTTAAGACCCAGGGTATACCATCAGAGGCTAAAGTACTGTACAAATAGGCCAACTTTATAATAATGGTATAAGAGTTTGAACAAAGTTTTAAAGATTAATTTTGGTTCATTGTTGTGTTGTTTACATCACATGTTTCATAACTGGATTAATAGAATGCAGGAACACATTTACCACCTCCAACACTTTCTGTAGCCTTAAACTTTATGCAAAGAAACGTTTCTTCAACACATTGCTCAAGAAGTTCTGAAGAAATACTTAACTCTTGGTCAAAATAGACTAAACAATTTTAGTAACAACCAATATGATTTAAAAAATTAGCTGGTGAAATTTACTTCAAAACACAACTTGTATTGAAGCAATACAGCCATCATCTACTTTCATCACAAAATACTGTACTATGCTATTGTACTCTTTATCTTCAGTAGAGCATTACTCAGGTCCATAAGCACACTGCTGTAAAACTGTTCAAGATAAGATCCAATAGTCTAACATATCTAATCATGTGAGAGAATCATTGTAACTTAGCTCTTCAGTCATCAACCCCTTCACTACAGGATGCCACTTTTAACACTGAACATACAGACCCCCCCCCCCCCAGTATCCAAGTGGTGAAGCAACTTGTGTTACTCTAGTGGTCATACAGTAATTATACTGTACTCTATTACTAGCTAATGACAAATATTTTACATGCAAAATTACTACTAAAAGAAAAATATGCACACTCAACCATAACCAAGCTTACCCAATGATTGATTCATTTCACTTCAGAAATGAGTTCAGTTCAACTATGAAGGACCGATCTGATCGTTACAATTTTACAACAGCGTAGATTAAAGACTTTCACAACGCCCGATTACACAAGTTGACAAAAGCAGCAAGACAGTGTGTAATGCTAGCGGGTGGAGGAGTCCTGCACTGTCTGAAGCTGTATTTTATTTACCAGTACTGTACTTCAAAAGCTACCTAACAAAATTATAACTAAAACATTATTAATATCACTTTATACAAGCTGTTAAATGTCACCAATCAACCACTCCATACAGCAGCCTATGAGACGTAACACCCCACGGGACGGCACCAGGTTTAGCATACAAGAGTGATACAAGAGAACACCAGTCTCCTATGGAAACGTTGGCTGTTAGAGAGACCAACCAATGAAAAATAAATAACAAAACTCACACCAACCTTGATTATGATTAAAAAGCATTTCAGAAGTAAGAAGTCAACAGACAGACACACATAATAAACCTGCCCTTTAATACCCTGCTGGCCGTGTCCCCCCCCCCCACGCAGTGGTAAATCGAGAAAATAAAAACTTTTCCAAAAATAATTTTTAACCTCTTTAAATGATAAAACAATAAAAAATAAGTAAGAAAAACTATATATTGACCCTCTAGAAACTTCCCTGTGGCAACAGTGGCGATGGAGATTAAGAGACAGTGTCGTTTTGACAGCCGACACTCATGGTCACTACGTACTTAAAGGCCATTTTCTGCTTGCCTTGTGTCTGGGATGGCCAGTAATGCATATATTTACCGACCATATTACTTATTTCCGATAAACAATTCACTTAGAATATTTTATTTGCATTATTTTCATAAAAAGTTCTCAGCAACACACGCAGTCTGTCGCCAGGCTGTCTTTGTGTTTGGTACAGCAAGTAATGCATAAAATAATAAGAATTCCACAAATAAATACAGTTATAACATAATCATAGCATTATTTTCCAGTAATACTTCACTACTTTTACCAATATTATTTTGATACAAGATAAAATGGACAAACAATAAAAATGAAACAAACAAATGTAGGTAATTACGTTCAGTAAGCTTCCCTGTGGACAAGCGTGTGGCGTGACAGGCAAATAGTCACACTGGAACCCGACAACCTGCGCTGGGCATTTAAACAGTGACAGGAGAAGGCGCGCGTTCTGGAATGTCACCCGGGGCGCGCTAGTCGGGCGTTCCGGTACGTCACCCGGGGTGTAAGGGTTAAGCCATGACACCAATAACATCCAGCAACAGAACAAACTCCAACAATTATAATGTCAATTCTGATGACCAAGGTGATGAGTTTAATTGAAGCAATGTCTGGAACAGTAGAAAGTATGAAGTGAAATAAAGCAATTGTCAAACCAACTTTCTGAAAACTGAGTCTTCATGTACACCACTTCCCATCACCCAGTTTCCTTATGAAAATTCTGCCAACTTCTACAAATAGAAGTCAGAAACTGCTTAACTACTCACCGATGAATACCACCAATTCAATTAAGCGCCAGAAAAAACTATACAACTACAGTACACTTTCTTTACTTCTATATCAAGGCTAGGAGCTGGGCAGAAAGGAACACTATCTTCCCTACAATATACAGTGCAGTATGCTTGATGTTCCTTTACCCTACCTTCATAATGACCCAAAACCAATTCTCCTCTGCCAATGCCACCACCCACATATAAGCTACAGAGTACAGTACATGTCTGCACCTCAGCAAGTGTTCTGGCTTCCATCCCTAACATCTCTCACCTTTTCATGACCAGTGAACTTCCTGTACAATATCTCAACTCCAAAATACTTGCACAATATTCATAATTGCCAAACTCACCTATGCCTCCCCTGCCTGGTCTTCTTCATTAACTACAGAACACCTGTGTGCCATAATAATCTTCATCCTTTTTACACCATCTACCAAGAGCCAATCCATAAACTGGCATTCACAACTGTCTCTAACCAGCATGTGACACAAGAACTTCACCACCATCTGTTAACCCTTTAAATAGTAGTGTCACACAAGTATTTTATTCTGGTTAATGCCAGATAATTTTATTCGCCTTAGTCAAACCAATTCAACCTCCAACAGAGCGGACACACTTCAGTCCGACATAAATCTGTTTTTTTGCAGTTATATTTACTGTAGTTTATGCTCCTTCACATACATGCAGTGCTTCGCCATGCTTTTATCAAGTGCTTCAGTACCATTAGCAAAGAATAGAAAAGTGAACTATAAAACTTGTTAGAAAAAAGAAGGTTGAATGGGGGGTGCTGTTACCCCGATGCCTTTACAAATAGCTACTGTACATGTAGATAAATGTTCCATCACAACCCCACTATTTCTGGCACTGTAGGTAATAGGCAGCTATCAAAACAGGGAGGTACTACCATCTGGGAAGATATTGGAAGCATAACGTAATGCATTGTCTAATGGTAGACCCTACTGCCATATGGCATCACAAAAATTGTGACCAAGTCCCAGGTTACTGCTCTGACTTTCTACCTCATTTACACACAATTGCAGGGTCTCAATTGTTTCTCTTACTTTGACTACACAACAAACATGTATCGTTTCTCTCTATTGATTTTTTATGGTCCTTTACTATTATTTTTATTTAATATTTAATTATTATTAAACCCCCCCCCCCCCCCGGCCCTGATGTGGGTCATTGACCTGCACCCTGGTGGACTAATCCTGTAAAGAGGGGGGGGAGGACTCGTGTCATGTCTGAATGGTCACTGGTTCACACACCCAGGGCACCCCCATTTGACCCAACTGTAAATGGGCACATACCATAACTTTAGTTGTCAAAAGTGAAGGCGGTCAAGTGCATGGCCAGCTACACTGCCTCTTTGTGTAACAAGACTCAGAACTTAAGTGTGTCCAGTGCCAGACAGAACGAAGGTAACATTACATGGCCCCACACCTTATATTATATGGTAGGGGAATAAAAACTTGCTGAACCCTTTTTGCTTGGGGTCATAACTTCACCCAACTCTTGGCACCACCACCCTGATTGGTTAAATTTTATGAGTGACCTGTCGTGCAATGGCCAACTGATGACAACCGGGCAAGCAGGCAGTAACTGCTTCAGTACTGTGACAGTTAAACAACCGAAAATACTGTATTTTATCATACACTTTAAAAGAAGACAAAATCTGTACCAGTACCTCAATGGTGGCTGAAATGTTTGGAAAAGATTTTCAGAGAAGTTGAGAAGACCCAAACATGTAAAGAAGTTCAACACAAGAAAGGGCATTCAAAATGTTCAGTATATGAAATGTAAATCAACAAGACGAAAAGAAATACCTCAATACTGTATTCACAAGTTTGGTAGAATAAGGCCAAGTTCAAGAACCAGGAACATAAAACAAACTTACCGGTTGAAAACCAGAGGGTCCAGCAAAGGCGTGATGGTAGGAAGCAGAAGTACCAGCCAGGGCACCAGAGGCAGCTTGTTGTAAGAACTCGGGAAGATCATTACTTAGATCCCCCCCTAAGTCTCCACCCTCCTCCTCCTTGTACCCATCTCCACTCAAATTGTAGGAGTCCTGGTGGATGTCGCCCGTGTCTTCCTCCTCCATCTCCACCTTGACAAAGGTTGGTGTGTCCTCCCCTCTATACTGGTTACTGGTCTGTTGTTGTTCAGGTAGAGGTTGTGATGACTGAAGGGGTGGTTGTGATGGCTGATGTGTCAACTGTTGTGAAGATTGATGAGATGGTACATGAGAGGTGACGGGAGACTCCGCAGGCGAAGAGAGGGGACGGCTATCACGATCTTCTGTTACGAGAGACTCCTGAGATGTTCTGAGAGGGGAGGGGCTCAGCCGCTGACTAACAGGGCTCTTTGGTCTTGGTGGTGGTGGAGGGGTGTGTAAGCCACTCTGTAGAGGGGGAGGCGGTCTGACGTCTTCCCGACCGTCTTCGCCTTCATCCCTCCGTTTTCTTTTAGAAGGGGGACTTCCACTCCCGCCATCTCTCCTGGTCGGTTCGGCCCGAGATGGTGTAGTTACGGCACCCTTCTTAAGAGGTTCATCGTCAGGTACAGCAAGGCCCTTAATTCTCAAGTTTTCCGCCGCCTTTATTAAAGAGGCTAAGTCACATTGTCGCACATTCACTTCACCAAGGTACATATAGTCAAGCAAGGCTTCTAGATCCTCACTTTTAATGTCTTTTAGCACTATAACTGGGCTCTTACAAGCTGTCTTGTCAAACATGGCACAGAAATAATCACTACACGTTGAAAGCACCAACTTGTGCACACTGTAGAACTTGCCATCGCATGCCAGCGTGACATCCGTATACGCTTGCTGTAGAAGATACAAAGTTATTTTCGTGAGTACAACAAGATTAGTGATCAATGTCCTTAACATAAAAATATAAATGTACTTTACAACAAACCTAAAATTACAATCAATATTATAAATTCTTAAGTACTGGCTTCAGTATTTGTTGCATGTGATGACAAGAACTATTAATGTTGCCATCTTCAGATTTGTGATTCTTTAAACAATTAGTCCAATGGTCAGTGGCTGGCCAAAGTTGTGGAGGGACAACATACTGTACCAGTATAAATTAAGTTCATAGGAAAACCAACTTGCTATATTGTAAATTTTAGTGACATACCCCGAACCCACTATTCTGCCATCATTTCACACATCACAACCTAATTATGGACTTGCTATACTGTATTAAGAGTTAAATAACCCAAACTAGTCCAGTTAAAAAGTATAGCTATGTCTTATGTCTATTAATTATGTACTGCATCCTTTTGCTTGTGTACATCAAGTGATCAACATGAAAGTGTCCACATTTGCAAGCTCTTTTCAGTACCTGTGGCTCATGAACACTTGAACCAAGCGAGTTAAATGCATTCTGACTAGTATTAATGACAACCTATCAATATACTGCTTACTGTACATTTGTCAGCCACAAAACCTTACTAACCTACCCAAGCAAGATTTTTATCTTCTTTAAAATTTCCGCATAACAGATACTGTACTTTATAAATAAATTATGCAATTTCTACAGCATACAGTACAGTACAGTCCATACACCATTCTAGCCCAAATCCTTGGAACAAAGGTTACCAAAAACTGGTTAAAGCAGTGTCAGTCCAGACTAGACTCCGTGGATTCATCAGTTGGGACTGATATTCACCGAATTCCCAGAACTGGCTAATGCACCATAAAGATAAAGGTAGAAGTAGCCACAGAAAGCTACAAGCACCTGTAAGACACTCATCCAGCACATCTCCACTAGTACAGCCTGCAACTGCTGAAAATTCATGTGGTCTGGACACAAAGTCAAAACAATCCCAGAAGTGGTATACCTCTGCAGATAAACTTAAGACGTTGAATAATTTTGCCCCTCCAAATTATAGGACCACTTGATGATTCCCCCCATAACAGAAGTTCAACTGAAGATTAACCAACCTAAGGCAACGTTTGGGCGGCGGGCGGGGGGGCCGGGGGGGGGGGGGTTCCACATTATGATTAGGTTAATCCTCAAGTGAAACTAAGGGAGTAATTTTTTAGGTGATCAGAACAATACCATACCAGGAAATCAAGCCGAGATTCTCAGACTCTAAAAGTGGTGTCCCCTAACCACAAGACCATGGCTATTTGCTTTTTCAATAAACTCACTATCACTGTATATGGTTTCTTGTCATTTCATTTCTCTGCTAAAAGTCAATAGCTAGCCTACAGGAACTGATATAACCAACATCTGCCATAAACTTGAAACTCAAGACTTAAAGTAATAAATATCTGGTCCTTAAAAACTAAAGACAATGCTATACACTACACCTCAATCTTGAAATATTAAACACCAAACCAATAAAGTCAACATATAGTTGCTATACTGTACAGCCAGGCCTTAAAAACTCAGTGTCGAGCTAAACACCTAGGCAAATAATCTCCCCAATATTGACCTTAAACTCTCGCTAACATAGGTACCATACAAATCAGGTTAGCTAGCGTGCCAACACAGCAGCTAGGTTTGTGGTGAGGTGCAGGGGACACAGCACAGTGCATGTAATCCTGGTCTATATCCAACTCCTATCACCTAACCATGACACCTTTTTAAGTAGACCTTCATAAACTTCAAGAGGTATGAGTCCTGTATACTTTCACACAACACACAAGTTAAAAGATAGACATTTTCACATGCAGAGGAAAGCTGCATGTGTTGCATGTCTTCTTAATATCCTTGAAAATTTTAAAATTCTTCAAAAACTTGATAAGTCAACCAACAATGACCAGTGTTGTGTAGAAGTTACAACAATTTATGACACAGAAAATTACTAAAGTTTTACACCGATAGTGAATTAGATAAGACTGTGTGCATAAACCCCCAGTGAAGCTAAATCAGTCAGCAGCTTCTTGAAAAGAATACCAGTAGTTTCGTACTGTACAGAAGTAGCGCACCCAGAAATTCTGTAGGGGGGAGGGCTGGAGGCCATGGATGTACCCAGAAATTCGTCAAGGAGGGAGCGAAATTGCATGGCCGAAGGCCAAGCTTGTGGGATTTTTTAAGCTTTAACTTCGAGAATGTTTGGATTTGGGGGCCCCTTAGTCAGGGGGCCTGAGGCCAGTGCCTAAAGTGCCTCATGGTTAATACGGCACTGGAAGCCACATACATAATTTTTAATTGCACGTGCTATGTATTTGAACGATCCTCTGACTTAACGCACTTAACACACATAACTTAAGTATAAAACAAATGAATATAAATCAAAATTATTAACTATAAATTAAATTTCAATAAAGCATAATCAGTCTGGACTGTTAGCTTAAGCTCCAGGGGGGACCAGGCCTTCTCTCGCCCCCCGTAGTTGCGGCCCTGGGTCGTGTGGCGAAACGTGCTGGTGCCACATCGTACCATAAACAGTGAGAGTAGTGCAATAAATTCGATAACGATACACCTGTCACTATTAGTAATATAAATTATATATATATTAGTTATAATAGAAAGTGAATTGGGTAAGGAGCAACAATAAGGACAATGCGGGAGACACGAAATAACACGTAACAGCGGCACCACTAAGGTAAGGAAATCCACATGACATCATCTCAGAGGCCTGCCTTGGCAACTTGGGAGCGAGCGGGAGCTTTAAATTGGCAATTACGAGCAAATTGAGGTTTATTTCCTTATTTTCAGACCAAATGGGACCTATAAGGCAGAAAAAAATACACTTTTGCCTGACCAGGGGGGTGACATGTAGGATTCCAGCATCTGATCACGGACAGTTAAGGAACAGTGGGCTTAAGGAGTGGAAGGGGGGGGGGGGCCATGGACCCACCCCTTGGGTGCACTAGTGCTGTTCAGTATATGTGGTAGCAAATATTTTGTGAAATAGTGACCAACAGTGTTTACATGGCTACTGTTTACTGGACATTGTAATTAAAACACTTAGTGAGCAGTTACAGCTGAAATAATAAAAATCTACCTTTGGTCCTGTGGCAAAACATTATCTATGTACCAAAGATGAGCAAAATACAATTATTCAGTGATATTCATCGTCGTCGTATGGCCATTTACTCAATTCTCAAATACTGTCCATATTTTATGTAATTCAATACAGGAAGGTGTAGGACCACTGTACAGTAAGTCCTCGCTTATTGTTGTTTCGGTATTACGTCGCTGAACTTCAGACAAAAATTCGTTTAACGTCCCGGTGATCCGATACTACGTCGGTTTGTGTCGCCACAGACAACTTTCTACGGTGCATCACCCGCTCTTGTCTGGCAGCGCTACGCTCTCTCGGCGCTGCCTCACTCGCGGAAAGTCACAGCGTCCCCAAGCCCGTCTGTTACGTCCTCACATCATTCGCACGTGCTTAAGTGTTTTTGCTCTAAAACTGTACTCTAACCATTCAAAATGACTTCCAAGCACCCATCAAGTGCGACTGATGCTGGTGTAGTGAAGAGACAACGGAAGGGGAGCCCCAGTCAGAGTAGGAGGAGGAGGCAGCCGCACAGTCTCAGTTACTCACCACCCTCCTCCCACCCTCACCTCCCCACTACCCAACACACACTCACTCTACCACCTCCACCCATCAGTGAGTACCAATACAAACTTACTACTGTAGTTCTATGCACTATTCTCAATAGAAATGGCAATGATTTTCTGTACATGTAACTTTTTTCATGGGGCAAAGGGAGGCCCAGGAACTTAACTCCCGCATTTTATCTATTTCTTATGGGGAACGTAACCCCGATGTTAAGAGAGGACTTATTGTACATGACAAAGCAAAGCAAGCCGACCAATTATTAGGATTGACACTGGAACTGAAAGACAAACTAATTAAAGGAATAGGTTGTCATCATATCTACCTTCTTTTTAAAGGGAAAAATATTATATTAACTGAAAAAAAATCAACAAATTACATCAAATAAACCAACCCATAATATTACATGTTTTACCTGACATCCCATCATTAATTGTAACCAATAAAGTAGATCCTAACCCAACAAACTATAAACTAATCAACTCCAGGATACTTACCGTTACTTCATTACAGGGGGTCCCCGACTTACAAACGCCTGCCGATACGAACGGGGTCAAACTTGAGATTTACAGTATTTTATTTACCTGATGACTTATTTTTTACTTTCATTTACATATTTTGTCATTCTATTTCTTCTTTTCTCTTATATTAAGTGATTTTCGATGTATACAAGGAGTTAGGCTATGATATAATGGGATTTTAAACATTGTACTGTAAGTAGGGTATGCACATAGCATGTGTTCCGACTTCCGTACAAATCAGACGCAAGAACGTCCTCAGGAACGGAACCAGTTCATAGCCCAGGGACCCCCTGTACTGTATATGAATTCAACAAACTCTTTAAGTATTGTTCACAACTTACATCTTTACCAAAAATTAGACAAATAAGCATCAAATACTGTACTGTGGTGTTTCTCAAATTGTAACAGTGCAGGTTTCAATGCTATAAATTACTAATATGAAGAGCCATTGGGCACATCCTCAAGAGCTGTGCAGTTTGGACATCTTTCAGGATAAATCTGGGGATAAATGACTATAAACAGCTGAAACGTGATAACATTTTCATACTACAGAAAGGAAGGTGTGATGTCACTGAGGATAAACCCAATAACCCTCATGATAAACAAATTTACCCAACTAGAGGGAGTGAGGCTGGGCAGAGACCAACATAACCTTACCTGACCATACATTTATCGAACAAAACACACTATAATTACCAGCAATAATCTTGGAAAAAAGTTGAACAATTGAAATATCTTACCTTATCCCTGAGCACACCCAGTATGTGAAGAAACGTGGAACGGTGATTGTTCCACTTTAGAGAGAGTAGCTCCTCCATGTTAACCTGAAAAATAAAAGATTTTTATCATTATTCAATAGAAAATCCTGTTTCTAATAATTAATTATTAAAATCAGATGTGCAGAGTGAAATATTATAATTACTTTTCACATGGCCCGCATTCAACTGCTACTAATACCACTCCGCACGAACGGATGTTTGGCTACCAACGGAGATCGGCCAGTGGGAGGGCAACACTGTACCTACCTGGTTAACGACTCAAAAGACCGTTTATCTCGAGCGCCAAGTCGTTACAGTAAATATGATCTGCTGGTGGACGAGGTGGAATTACTTGATGTTAATCCGCAATATGCGGGAAAACCAGTGTCTGCGCCATCTCTCGCCCAAAGGTGTTGAATCAGGCACAGAGACACTTCAAGACAAGGCCAGCAGTGAACGTGTTCCTATACAAGGTTTAGATGAACATCTCGATGAACGCCCGGTAGCTGAGAGGGACGAGCAGGTGGAAATGGCGGACCACGAGGAAAATCGGCAGCCAGATGCATCGCCAACTCAAGCCCCCTCCCCTCGTTGTGTTCCAGACATATGCCGTCCTATCTGGGCGATTATACACTGTAATTGTATGCTGATGTGTTGTTTTAAAGGCAGGGGTGAATGATGTGTTATGCTTAGTTGGTTATGTGCTCTAATAATATGGTTTGAAATTCTCTTATATTTCTTATGTTATGTTTATTTGTGTTAAGGCAATTCTGTTACTTGAAGCTTAGTCATTTTTAATTTGTAATTCCTGTTTATTGTGTTTATTATAGATCTATAAGAACATAAGGCGTTTGCAATAGGCCGGTTGGCCTGAGCATGGCAGCTCCTGTCGAGTTACTACCACTATCATCCATGAATCTATCTAGCCTCCTTTTAAAACTATCCAGCGTTCCAGCACTTACTACAAAGTTGCAAAGCTTGTTCCACTAGTCCACCACCATATCTGTGAACCAGTTCCTTCCTAGCTCCCTCCTAAACCTTAACTTATCCTATGGATACTGATGTTGCTTTAAGTTGAATAAAGCCTCCCAGTGCTTACCTTTTTCATAACAATGCCGAGGCATAATTTCGTAATACAATTTTGTAGGCTAGGCGTTTTGATTAAATATTGGTTAATATTACAGGGTCGCATAGCTTGTTGCAGGCGTATTAACAATAGTTTTCATATTTTTTTTTTATTTTAGTCAAACATACTGTCTTAGTGTTTGTGATTATTTTCTATACCAAACAACAGTTATTTTCGTGTATATAATGATTACTGTTTAAGTGAAATGACTGCAAGCATATTAACAATGTTTTTATTTTATATTTTCGTCTTTAATAAATTGTTAGTGTTTTTTTCTCATTATTTTCTATCCCAAGCAACTGTTATTTTCATGTATAGAATGATGGGAATGAACGCGGTGACGAAACGGGTAAAGAAGAGGTGACGAAACGGGTTGGTGACGAAACGGACTGGAAATGAACTTCCTGCTTCTTGGAATATGTCATCACAATAACGTAAATAGCAGAGGTGTGATTTTAAGTTGTTTTTTAATCACAATGCAAGCTGAAATACATTAGAGGTCATATAGTACTGTAAACTCATGTTCTGCTGCTTCAAGTTAATGACCGATGGCGGCGGCTTTCCTTGTATAACGGTAAATGGCTACATATTTCTAACTCAACCGTCACACCACAACTGAAACAACAATAAACTAACACATAAAATAAATCAACGTCATAAATATAACTCTAATATCAGTAGAGAGATAAATGGTGTAAGTGGCGGCCCTAGACCAAGGTGCCCCCAAACCGCGCCTACAACCCAAGCTGCAAACTTCCACACATTAATAATGGCCACAGTAACACATTCCTGCACTACTAAATCCATTCAAACAACTACCACATCAATGTTATAGTGGACAACTGATACAGAGGGTGATAATATAGCTATATTTGGAGAAAAACGTACCTTCTAGGACTAGACGCTAGGCTGCATCACACCAGCAGTTCGGCCATTTTCTACCCCAAGCTTCCCTGGCCCGCCAGTGTTGCCAACCCCAGCCCACACAACGGCTGAAACCGCTATTTTTTTTATCTCTCCTACACCGGACTGTATAAAAATTTCCAATTAATTACGCATCTCCCTAATAATCCTAAATAAATATTAGAGATATGAGATTCTAAAATCCAAATTTAACTAAAAAAAGGCAATCATCTCGCTCCACAATTGAAGTTGAATGGACGTTCATTCAAAATTATATTGATCCTGAGCCTGACAATGGAGGAACAGGGCGGAAGGCCTCACCGACAATCCTACAAATATTTTTCTCTCCAAGTTCAGAATTATCTGTAATATTTAAAATTTATTCTAAAATAAAATCAGTCAAGAAGGAGAGATAAAAACCCAAATCTCAATAAACATTCTTGCGAGTTCCTCGTTTGGTAATGTGTGACGCCGGCCGCCGGCCTTTGTGTCCCCAGATGGAGGATTGAACAATGGAGGTAAATAGTTCCGGCAGGGAAGAAAGTATTGTAATAGGGAAGAAAATATTTGTTTGGTGTTGAAAACATATTTGTGTTGACTAAGGAATCATTTGTACTATTAAAGGAAGTAGTTGTAAGGTGAAGCAAGTACAGTATTGTTGTTAAAAAGTACTGCACCGGTAGCTGTACGGGACTGATAAAAGAAGTAGTTTAGTTGTAATGGTGAAACTGAGGAAAGAGAGCTGTATTGATGAATGAAGTAATGTTATTGATGAAGGATATAACTCTATAGATGAAGTTGTATTGCCGAAGGAAGTAGTTGTACCAAGGTAGATGTATTGTATTATTGAAGGAATAGCTGTAAGGGTAAAGGAAATATTTGTACTGATGAAAGAAGTATTGTACCGAGGAGAGAAGTATTATTGATATTGAAACAGTTTATTTAACCAGAAGAACATAGATACAGAGTCGAAAAAATAATATTATCATCGCTGAGCCAATGAGAGCCTGAGCTCTCTTGAGGGCACCTGCTACTGTACAATTATCTCAAGGAAGTATTATATAACATTTAGTATCATTTGGAATCGTACACATGCATGGTGGTAATAAGAACACCTCATAATGTTACCACGGTTACCATTTCGATATTTCTTTTTTTTCAATACATTATAAGCAGGGATATAAAGTAGGTATTAACAAAAAAATATTAGTACTCGGACAATAGATATTTTTTTAGATGATTTTTAGGAAGGGAGCGTAGTCTTTGCTGGGGTGGGTGGGGGTGAGTTGTTCCACTCCTTCACACCACATCATAAGACTGCAACACCAAACCTAACCTAACACCCTCCAGATCGTGTTAGGGTGTTTAATAATCAGGTGAAATAAGCTGGGGTTAGGTTAGATTAAGGTTATGGTCGGTTAAGGTTGTGTTGGTTTAACTTTGTTAGGACAGTTAGAGTTATGTTAGGTTAGCGTTAATATTAGGCATAAACGTGTGCATAGTTTTGTAAAATTTTACTGAAGTTAATGAAATGCTATTGCAAAAAAACATCTGACCAACGGAAAAACGTTGTAGTAATGTACTAATTATAACGTTTTAACAAGGATGAATTGTTAGCTGGTTGAGTGTGAGCGCCCGCCATAGGGGAGTGTAGCAATAATCATTAGTTTATTTAGCAGCTTTTTCATCCAATTGGCAACACTGACTGACGTTCATCGGCGTCGACTCGTACCATCTTTCCGAAATTATTTTAAAGACAGTACAACCCATTTAACAACAATAATTAAAAACAAAAATTATGTAAGACTCTTGGGTTAAAATTTAAATGTTGGATATTTATTATTTAGGTCCTAGGTGTATTAATAAAGTAGCAGGATATAATCGGAGCTTGAGTTCTACATCAGTGAGAAACCTGCGGGTGCGCAAAGAGGTCGTGGTCGCCGCCGTCTCCTCCAATACCGGCACAAATGTTTCTTACAACGAGATAACTAGTCGTTAGAGAGGTGAGTTACCAATATATAACAACCCAAGGATTTACTTAACGTGTATAGAATGTTGTATAAATGTTGGTGTTGTGGAATAAATAGGGTAAAGGTGTTGGGGTTTCCCGTGTGGTTGATGACGCAGCTCTGGGGACCAGCTTCCGCCCTCCCTCTAGTTGCCACTTCAATACCGCCTTACCTATTTTACTTTTCGGTGTTCTTTCCTTCCCTATTTTTGGACAAGAGGATTGTGATGCGTTATCTTTGTTTTCTTGGAGTGATTAAGATGTGTAGGGTTTGAATTGGTTGTTTTACGGAAGGCGTAGATAAAGTTTGGATTATTGTAGGGGTTGGGGATGACCGGTGGTGGGGAAGGCGCGCGTTCCTCCCCGGGGCCTTTGTTAACCCAGCAGCCAGACCCACGCCTCGACCCACGCCATCAGCCAGCAGACCCACACAACCCACGCAAGCCAAGCCGTCCCCACCTCGCACGCCCACACAACACCAACCTGGTTCTAATTTTGGATCAAAGGCACAACCAGGGGCGTGGGCCAACTTACTTGTCAATGCAGGACAAACGTTGGGCGGCCCACTTATTGATTTTCTGGCAGGTATTTTATTTTATTTCTCACTTGGGGAAGGAGAGGCTAGGCCGTCACCCTACAGTCAGGCCACCGGCTCTTATTATCTTCATTGTTCGTGTGTTTGAAATAAGGTGATAGTGTTTTAAGAGATTTTTAGGTTGAAGAACATAACGTTGCTTTTTTGTGTGGTGAGTTGAAAATTTATTGAGGTTGTTGTTACATAAGAGGTTGAACGTATGTGACTGAATGGTACCAAAATGGAGATTGTTTGAAGAATGATGATATAATGGCGAAATATGGATGTTGTAGATACGAGGCTATATGCCAATAATTGTAGTTTATAATGGTAATGGAGTAGGTTAGTTTATTTTCACTCGAGAAAATTTTAATTGCATGAACGTGTAGTAGTGATAAGGAATAATGCAGAGTAGTTTAGAAGCAGAAAGTCAGCCCGTTGTCCCCATGTTTTAAGTGATTAAAAAACTTTATATATATATATATATATATATATATATATATATATATATATATATATATATATATATATATATATATAAACTGTAATGGATTTGTGATGAATTATTAGGTTTCGCATTTTCCCGGTAATTTTCTTGTGCACAGTATGTCTTTGCAATGGGGATTTAACCTTTTATTTAATTTAAGGCAACAGGATTTTGGTTTGCTAAAGGGGAGGGGAGACGTTGGTTGTTTGGTTTGTTGAATTACCTACTTGGTTAAATTTAGGGCAAAACGTGTTAACAACAGGCATTTCGATAAGAAAAGTGAGATTTTTAGGTAATTTAAGTTTGGGTGAATTTATTTCTTTAGCTAGAAATTGTTAAATATAAATTTCTGGTGTATGGTGGTAGAGCAGGATTTTAGTACTGTATAGTGATATCCAATCTATTAATTATCGGTATGTACTGTACTGAATGTACTTGTGGCACTCCTAATTTATCTATTTTACAGTGGGTCATCACACTTATATATAACCCAGATACTTGGGAGAATTTTAAATTTACATACAGTACTTTGTTTTCTATACTTAAGTGACTTGGATCTAACTGAATAGCGACTTGGATTATGCTATTCCTTTACACCTAAGTTTGCTTTTGTTATTGGCATCAAGGTTGAAGTCACAAGGATGTTCTCTTTAGATCTGTTCATACAGCTAAAAAGATGGAATGGGTACGAGTCGCACTCTTACCCATTCTTTTAGACGAGCTTGGGATTTACTATTCCTTGGCAGTGATGGGTGTTAAATTAGATACCTTTATATTACTAGAAAGTTTGAGTGGGTGTTTATTATATTTTTATAGTAAGTATGAAAGTGAAAGCTCGTACATTCTTGTTTTGTTTTTATATCCGGGTAACTAAAGTTGGTGCCCGGAATCATTCATAGACATATTGTTCTAGCTATACAGTACTTGTTCAGTAATACTGCAACTATTTATAAATGGTGCTTTTGTAAATCTTTTATGCCCTTAAATAAATTTTTTGAATTTGTATAGAAACTTTAGTTTTTATTGAAAAATTTTCTTTATAAATTTTCAGCAGCCATGGAGGAGCTACTGTCACTAAAGTGGAACAACCATCGTACCACTTTCATCCACATTTTGGGTGTTCTCAGGGATAAGGTAAGTATTTTAAAGGGTGGATAATACAACACCTAACTATGAATATTAGATTGAATGTTTTTTTTTTTTTTTTTTCGTGGAGACCAAATTTACACTTAACAATGATAGATCCAAGTACAGTGCTTATTAAGTAGTTTGGATATCCTCATGAGCAAAAAAATTTGCACATACACACAGGTGAGTCTGACATGGTAACCGTGGCCTACAGTCTCAATATTTAAGGTTGGCTTCAAGTTGAACGCTTTTGTCAATCTGCATGTTATGGGCAAAGTTTGTTACAAATGGGATCAGCTTACAGGTTTTCAGGTCTGTCACTTAAGTAACATAACAGAATCCTGGAAGTGCTGTGTTACCTGTGACAGACAATGTACATTCAGGAGCAAACTGTACTTATTAGATTTACAAAATCCTTAAATTGTCTTGAATTAGTGGAACTTTTTGCCACAGACTTATTTTTCAGGTGTTAGGAATTGCACCTTATGCATTCTAAATGTTATTTGATAGTTTTGATGTTAAATTAGAGTCCTGACTTAGGAAGTTGTTAGTTGTCTGTGATAGAAACAAGATTTCTGACTGACCACAAGACCTAGAGCCATTCAGTTCCCCTGCCAAGGTCATGAATGAAAGATGTACTGTAGCTAGCAGGTACTATATTCATTTTAGTTTATCGGTCATTGTCAGCCATTTGGAGCAGTTGGGTGTACAGTTAGGTAAGTTCAAAGTTAGACTTAGGATTGAGTATTTGCTGATGTTCTGACAGGATTTTAATGCATTGTATTTTTTTCTACATTACAGCAAGCGTATACGGATGTCACGCTGGCATGTGATGGCAAGTTCTACAGTGTGCACAAGTTGGTGCTTTCAACGTGTAGTGATTATTTCTGTGCCATGTTTGACAAGACAGCTTGTAAGAGCCCAGTTATAGTGCTAAAAGACATTAAATGTGAGGATCTAGAAGCCTTGCTTGACTATATGTACCTTGGTGAAGTGAATGTGCGACAATGTGACTTAGCCTCTTTAATAAAGGCGGCGGAAAACTTGAGAATTAAGGGCCTTGCTGTACCTGACGATGAACCTCCTAATAAAGGCACGGTGGCTGCACCTACTTCACGAAGTGAACCAGTTAGAAGAGATGGAGGAAGTGGTAGCCCTCCAACAAAAAGAAAACGAAGGGATGAAGGCGAAGACGGTCGGGAAGACGTTAGACCGCCTCCACCGTCGCAGGGTAGTTTACACACACCTCCACCTCCATCTAGACCAAAGAGCCCTGTTAGTCAGCGGCTAAGCCCCTCCCCCCATAGAACATCTCAGGAGTCCCCCATTTTGGAAGATCGTACCAGCCGTCCCCTCTCCTCACCAGTGGAACAACCCCCTCCAGCACCTCGGGCATCATCACAACCCCCTGCTCAGTCGTCGTCTTCTCAACCACCAGTCAATCAGTACACGCCGGATGAGACTCCATCTTTTGTAAAGGTGGAGATGGAGGAAGAACAGCCTGATGATATGCACGGAGACTCTTACGACTTAAGTACGGACGGTTATAAGGAAGAAGGGGACGAATCTGGAAGTGGAATGAATAGTGATTTACCTGAGTTCCTACAAGCTGCTGCCTCTGGAGCCTTAGCCAGTAGTACTGCGTCTTATCCTCACCACTCCTTTGCTGGACCCTCTGGCTATCAGCCGGTGAGTGTCATAATTTTTGCTCGTCTCTCATTGGAACATAATGTAGCTAACTAGCTAATTATTATATATACATTATACTGTATTAGTAGAGTTAATATGAAATATAGTGCTACATATTTGTGTATTGTTATTGTGTATTAACTTTCCTTTGGTGTTAGGGTGACCTGGCTGGCTGGCAGGGTGACGGAGCATCTTTAGGGTTTCCCGCGCATCTAAACTTCACCTCAGACAGTTCTAGTCAACAGAATGCACCCGGGGTAAGTGTTGTGCTGCTAGTCTCAGTTCATTCCCATGGCTACTCGCTCACCAGTAATATTTCATGAAAAAAAAATAATCTAAATGATATCTTGAATGGAAAAAAGAGAGTACTTTATGTGTTTTTGCTATACAAAGGAAGATTTGGGGCATTTGTTGAGAAAGATCTGAAGCATTTGTTGGCTGTTTAAATTTGTCTCTTAAGCAGTTTTATTGTGCAGCCTCCACATAGTCTTCAGCTAGTGTGTGTATGCCATCTTTGTGTTCACTTCTCTTGGCCTAACTGATACAGTATTCAATCTTGCAAGAACAATTGGCACAGAGAACCAACCTGCATCGTCCCAGTAAATAATCACATTACTACCCATTTGGACATTTGCCTTTTAAATAATTGAACTACTTAAGGTTAAAATGAACTCTTATCATGATTATGTATTTGTGATTCACATACAAATGCAGAGCTTGACCATTTTAGTGGTTGCTTTGATTATTTGTCTTCCATTGCCGGATGATAAATCAGTTATGTTGGTTCAGATTTCACTTTTACAGTTTAACCCTCTGATATACTGTAGTAGACCCTGTTACCCGAGTTCAACATCAAGTGCTTGTCATGTATTGGTACAGTACAAGATTTTGCTGGTAGAAGTGATTGTTTATCCCAAGAAGGAAACATTGATGCCCAAGGTGGAGCCCTAACTAGTGATACCTGGTAGTTAATGTCTCCAGGTTGTGGATAGTTTTACTCCCACTATTGAACACTAGAGCAGATAATTATCTTCTACCCGGTAATATTTCAAATGTTATTAATTTTTTGTAACAACAATTAACTTGTGTATGGTAACACTTGTCTGAATGAATTGTTGCTCATGGTGGTTGTGATACGAGTAACTTGCTTCTACGCATTCAGTATTGAATACCAATTTTGCCTTTTGTATCAAATGCTAGATTGAATCTCTACCTTAACAAGTTAACATAGTCAGCATCATGGGTTTTATATAATATAATTGAATCTTGTATAACTGTAATTGGATATTCACTCACTTGACAAATGTTTTAGGATTCAGAAAAATATTTTGAATGTAGCCGTACTCTCCCCGTGTGATTATCACAAGATTATTAATCATGAAATGTTTACTGGCAGTGATAGTGGTTCATGGCACAGATGTTGCCTCACCAGTCAGGACACAAGAGACCAGACATATCAGTAGAGTAAAATATTGATACTTTATTCTCGTGTGGCTAAACATTGCTGCACCATATAAAATTTTGTTATATACGCACAATGGCAAAGTTGGTGCCGGTCACTGGGCACGTCACAAGTCACTGCTTATCAAGGTTGCGTTTTGGGACTGGGATGTTTGGGGACCTCCATGGAAGTTGGTTTTAAGACCTAACTGAAGGAAGAAGCATAAGGGTAAGTGATTACTTGATATGTGAGTTGTCTGGCTTCTTGTGGCAAGACAAGTTTAAATACTTATAACTAATTTTAAAATATTAAAGACATATTTGTCTATCTTACTTGGTGAGGTTTCATCTTAAAGAGATCAGTAATCATACAGTAGTGCATTAGTAGTAAAATAATTCAGTTAAGCAGCTCCCTTTATGGTTATCTTGTATACAATTTCCAATACTGAGACAAACTAGTTAATCTCTTGGAAGTTCTAAACAGTTGGGTGTAAATGGGACTGCCCAGTATGGGCCAATAGGCCTGCTGCAGTTTCCTCCATTCTTATGTTTGTATGTTTACTGTCTAAATTATTGTAAAAATCTTGACATGAATACCTTCGAATTGTGGGAAGAGTCTTGTGTGGTTTGGTTTCTGTATCTTGCCTTTAAAGGTTGTCCTTAAGTCACGTTTTGTAAAATGTCCCATAGTATTGTGTTCTCACTCAAGGGTACAATACTTGGTAAGTAGACTCCTACCCTGGAGTTCAAAGGTTAGTGTTGGCAGCTGGAGTTGAATGTATCGAATTGTTGATGCTGTCACTCGAGATTCTCAAATAGCTCCCGATGATATTGTTGTGATATGGCTGACTGTAGCGGTGACTCCTTGGAACATGGTGACTGGTAGACATTTGTTCTAAGTATTCTTGTCTAAAGATGTATATTCCTGGTCATAGTACTGTAATGATAGTTTGACCATGTTTAATTTTAGTGGTGGTGGTGTATTGAGAGAAGGGTTGTAGTTGCTTGATCGACTTGTTAAATGTTGCATTCAAGACTGATGTGACTGAAGTTGTCAAACATTGTGAGGTTTTAGTAGCAAGTCTATTCTTTGAATGATAGAAGGTGTCTCATGTGGTCAGCTGAGAGAATGTTACTAGTGTGGATGAGGTCTTTTTGTTAGGCTAGTGGTCTGCCAATGTGGTTCAGGGTTATACTGGCTGAGTACAGTATCGCTTTCTTATGGTTTCACCAGAGCTATGATTGGGATTGAACTTACAACATTTGTGTAGCAGTCTGATGTCAAATGTGAGGTGGGAATGTGTCATTTGATAATTGGCAAAAGATTGGTGCTTTGTAGAAGTGGGATGAATATATTAGTTAGGCTTGAGAAAGTGGCTGTGATTGGTTTTAGGGTTCAGTATATTGTGATTTTTAAGGCTGGGGTGTTTTCTTGAGGAATGGGGGAGGAGGAACTACAGAATGAGGTGTAGTTTTTGATAATGAGAGTTTTGTGAGCACCATCTGAAATAGTGACAGGGAATGATTTGTATGTTAGGTTGGCAGGGGAGCAGTGAGTTTTATGATAGTTAGTGGACCGAGTCGCAAGTTAGGTTGGCAGGCGAGGAGATTTCCTGTTCAGACTTGAATCTTTGCTGTCACTTTATCCAAATTCTTCATTGTGGGTTTTGGAGTACTGTATAACGGGGGGTGGGGGGTGCACCTACTGTATGTGGATGGTGTGAAGAGAGAGACCGGTTATGGGTGTGTTAACTGATTTTTTTATATTTTTTGCCAGTACACACACCACCCACCAATCCTCCTCCTCCTCCTTGCAGCTCAGTGGTCCATCCATAATATTTTATTAATATTGATATATCAGAAATATATTCATAAGAATACCAAGTTCTGGCTCTTTTTATGCCGAATTTAATGTATGTAGAGATATTACTGTTAGAAAACATTAAATTTTAATGTATGAGTGGTTGATGCTACAGACAAAATCATGCTTCTGGAGAAAGGGGGGGCTCTCACCCTAGTACCGTCTGATAAGAAAAAACAATAGTATTGCAATGTTCTGGTTGCTGTGGGTGCTTGATAGTGGAGTAATTAGTGAGTAGTCTAGGAGGGGGTTAATCAGTTTATAAATGAAAAATTGCTTGGTTGGTGTGGAGGAAGGAGTTGGTCTTGGTAGGTAGGAGGGGTGAGTACTTGTTGATAGAGGTGAATGGGGTGAGTCTTGGTAGGTAAAAGTGACGGTAGGGGTGGTGCATGTAGTGGAAAAGGGAGGGAGTTGTAATTGATGGGTTGGGTATGAGAAATGATTGGTGGAATTAGGGTTGTGATCGATAGAATGGTCGATGAAGGGATGGGTTCAAAAGAATGGTGAAGAACTTGTAAAATTGAGATTTTGTCGGTTCATGCTTTATATTTTGTCATTGTGTAAGAGTAATGTCACTGAATTGTTTTGGAAAAAATTTCCACTGACTTGCCACCGATTGCTCACGACCTATCTAACTGTATCCATAACTATTGAAGAATAGGGTGGGCAAAATGCTGCAATTAAAATATCACTGGAAATCAGAAAAGCTGCTTTCAGTGATTGTTCTCAGGATGATTTAACAATGAGAGAATTATTAATGACTGTGGTTCCTGTGGAGCTTTTGGTAATTGAGCCCATGAAGGAAGTGTTTGCTTTTCAAACTTAATATACAAGAAAATGTATTGTTGAACTTTAGTTAATTTATATTCTTGAGATGCATTATATTTATTCTCCAATAAATAATGCAGTGCTTGGTATATTTCAGTATTTCGTACAGTACTGTATTTCATGGATGTCTTCACAGCTCTGCATTTAACAAAGTTAAGAAAAGTTGGTATTTTTCTTAAGTTTATTGATGCATGAGTTTACAAATGTTAATACTTATTTAATTCTTATTTTCTATTGACGGTAAATGAATCAATAATTAAATACCATTAAGAGCAACTATTCTGACTGTTGGAGAGATACCAATTGGCAAGGATTACATTTAGCAGAAACTTGCAATATTTTGAAGCAGAATAACTTGGTAATAATGTTTGGCCCCTGAGGGAAAATTGGTCAAAAGATATTGTTGGTAATGGTAGTTAAGCAGTGAGTGATGCAAGTGAGGAGGATGTGAGCTGTAGGTGTTAGTATCTGCAGCTTTTCCAATGGTGCAGTGAAGTTCTGGGGCGTAATTTTGGTTGTCTAGATATGGTGAATGATGGGAGGTAACATGAGTCATTGTTTTTGGGAAAGGTGGGCGAGAGAGTATTCATGATTGGAGGAAGATGAGTCATGGCTGGTGGAGTGGGTCAGTGAGTGATGATTGGTGGAGTGTGTGCGAGTCAGGATTGGTGGGGGGGGGGTGTGAGTTGGGATTGGTGGAGGGTGTGTGTGATTCAGGATTGGTGGAGGGTGTGTGAGTCAGGATTGGTGGAGGGTGTGTGTGAGTCAGGATTGGTGGAGAATATACTGTATTATTGAGTGGGTGAATAATAGTTGGCAGAGAAGAGGGGAATATAACCTGGCTTGTGTGGTTAAGTGAGAATGAAAGCAAATCTTGGTACTGTATGCAAGTCGTATGCCTCGGTGCATCTTCAACATGTTATAAGATGGAGGAGGAAGCAGACAATAGATTAACGGTAACAGGGAAGTTATTGGTGATAGGTTGTTGAGTCAGCAGATAGTTGGATTGTTTGAAATTGGCCGACTTAAGTAAAATTGTGAAAATGTCGGAATTATCCTTTTATTTTCTTGTATGTAATTGGTGGCTGTTGTCTGTGTGATTGTTTCTTAAAGCAAAGAGGTTATTTG